CATCGTATGTTTGTGGCATTGAACTATTTCAATTTTATATTAATCTCAAACACTCATTCGTACACAAAACAATAATTTACCTTATTTCTGTATCTGAAGTTTGCCGTTATATACAAGACTCACGTGTGCAGGAGAGTCACCGACATCGTTTGGATTTTTAAAAAGTCCGATGTGTTTAAATCTAAATCTGACGACCTCTTTTCATTTCTGTACAAAAATGTGATTCCAGCAAGTTTCTGCCTTCTCTAGACAAAACAGTAGAAATAGCTGCAGTGGTAGAAAAACGGAGTGAACTTCTCAGTTTTCAGAAGCTTTGGTAACAACTGTCCTTCAAAACATTGAGACTGTTGGGGACATAGAAAATATAAATATCAAAATAAATCTTCGGAACTTTTTCTTTTTGTCTGTGTTAGAAGTTCAGTGGGGACGTTAACCGGTGAACCTACATATAAAAACCACACTACTTTAAAACAGACCAGCGATATGGCTTCTTTTTGAATAACTGTCGCGTTGCACAGAAAATAAATACGATTTTAAATACACCGATAAAATTTAGAGTCAAATAAAAAAACACGTTGAGGCGTTCAGACGTGAAGCTGGTGGTTTTTTTTTTTGTGGGAACGTGTCTCTGAGTTCAACCTTGAAATGTGGTTGGTTGTTTTCACTCCTCCCCCGTCGTCGTGGCGGTGCTCATGTGGGCGGAGGGCCGTTGGTGTAGCGCAGCATCGGGTAGAAGGAGCGGGCGAAGTTGTTGGACAGCGTGCAGCTGTAGTCGTCCTCGGACAGCGGCACCAGACAGGCCAGAACCAGCAGCACCAGGAAGAGCAGGTGGAGGGGGAAGGCAGCTCGAAGGACCCGGTAGAAGAAGGGTCGGTGTGGGGAAGAATCCCTCCGCTCCTCCCTGGATGCAGACAACAGAGGTTTATATTAGTTTAAACTGGAAGATGAGAGTTAAGGTGATTTTAAATAAACAGTTTGACATTCTGGGATTAGAGACTTGGTCATTTTCGGTCACGCAAATGTCCGAGTGAGAGCATCCGGACTTTCTGCAAACTTTCTCTGGATTTTTCCCTGAGAAAGTCCAGAAAAGTGGAGCTGATGTGAGATCAGAGCAGGATTCACTGCGAGCGAGCGAGTGTGGCTGTCGATATCGTTGCAAACACGCAACTAATATCTCAGGATGAAAAAGTGGAAGAGACACAGACGAAGATGTCAAGAGAGCTGTCAGTGGTAACGTCACGAGAATCCGTCAAAAGCCAGATAATCAAAACCCAAAGTGTCTTAATGGTAAAGAAACTAAAGTTACCTCCTGGCTGCTGTTTGTCCGACTGTAGCCGCCGGTCGCCGAGCGTCGTCCTGAAACAAGTGAGAACGTTAAACCACTTTTATTTATCTGTAAAACAACTGAAACATTCGTTTGTAGATCACGTAAAATATCCACTGATTTTAAAAATCTGCTCCGCGGCAGTGAAACGGATCCAAAGACATTAAAAACTGCAACACTGGATGGAAAGTGTTTTTCAGTTATTAATTATTATTCCTAATATTTGAGTTTATAAAAGTTGCTGTTGGAAACGAAAACAAACTTTGAAAAAGACAAATCTTGAATTTTAAATTCAAAAACATCAAATCAGAACATAAAATATCTGTCCGTCGTTATAAACACCTCATGTAAGACAACTTTTACACTGAGCTCTGAAAACCTAAATCTGTGAGTGTGTGTGTGTGTGTGTGTGTGTGTGTGTGTGCATGTGTGTGTGTGCGTGCGTGTGTGTGTGTGTACCTTGTGCAGCAGCAGATCGGAGCGGAGCGTCCCCAGGCCGATAGTGTCCATCTCAGAAGTGGCTGAGCAGGTTTCCTGAGACTGACGTTAAACAAACAAACAGAGCGTCAGATAAAAAGTCCTCAGACCGGTTCACAGACGACACTGACGTGACCTTTAAAATCTTTAATACTATCTCATTCTTATATATTTTGAGGGATGTCGAACTCTGTGTATATATAGAAAATATATAAACATAAAAACTTTGTCGACTTGACGCTTCCACAGGATCCAGTTTAAATTAAATCACTTATTATAACAGATAATAAAACGTGATTTATCAAACAGTGCGAGCGTCTCATTATTCTCTTCAGATATCAGTTGATGTTAAAGTGAAATAAAAGGTTTTAATGTGTAAAAAACCAAAAAGTCTTGTTTTTTTTTGTTTCCAGTAAAGAACTTTGTGCGTTTTTCTATTTAAAAATGAATTTAAATTGATTTATATATTGAAGAAATAAGATGAATCTGATGATAATAATTAATAACAAAATAAAATGAAACTACATCGTGCACAGTAAACGCACCAGTCGTCCCTGCAGCATCTGCAGGTCTGCGGCCGCCTGTCGCAGCAGCAGCCGCAGCTTGTTGCCGATGACGTGGACTTTCTCTTTGGCCTCCACGCTGTCGTCTCCGGTGGCCTCCAGGAGGAGCTGAGCCGAGATCTCCTGCAGCGAGGTCACCTGCCGCTGACGGCCGCGCAGTTCCTCCTGCAGATCCTGCAGCAAGGGGGCGACACTCAGCGTTCAAGACCGAAAATATCGTTGACAGCTAAACTGGAAGTGGTGAAATAAACGAGTTGATCTTTTTACCATCAGCGCGTCTCTGCGCCGCAGCAGCTCGGAGCGAGAGGTCGCCAGGTCGCTGACGTTTACGGCGTAGAGTCTGTTCTCGGCCTGAGACAACCACAACAACAGAGAGTGCAGCGTCTCCTGGAACTCCTGAACGACACACAAGGTCGGAGGTCAAAGGGCGGAGCTGGAGCGTTCGGTCACATTTCAAATAGATTTAACTCGTTTTATTAGTTTCATTAGAAAACTCGAGAATCTCACTTGTTTTCTCACAAATTTCTATTTTACATGAATCAGGCTGAACTCAGGGATCAGCACATTCAGAGCAGTGACTCAGCGACTTTACAAAAATATGTAGGTTGTTAATTTTTGCTTGTTCAAAGTTTCACAAAAACACAAATGCACCATAACGCACAGCGTGCTGGTGTTTCTGACCTGACACTGCATGAGAGCGGCGTGCAGCCTCCTCTCCCAGCTCTCCAGGCCGCCGCACGCCTGCGTCCAGCTGAGGTTGGCAGCGCTCAGAGCTTCCTGCAGCTCCCGCAGCTCGGCGCTGTCGCCGCGCAGGAAGTGACGGCTGTTCAGGTTGACGGAGATCATCGGACACTTGTAGCTGTTGAAGCTCCTCTGCATCTCCTGCACCAGAGAAAATAAACAGACGTGATTAAATGTCTCTTATCAACGTGGTTGAGTTTTTTTTATACGATAAACTTTTATAGATACTCATTTTTATTTCATTTTTAACGTCGTCACCTTCAGTTTCCTGATGTTGACCTCGATGTCTCGGATGCTGGTGGACGGGGCGATGCGCTGCAGCCGCTCCAGCTCTGGCAGCACCCTGCCCAACCAGGAAGTGACGTCACGGAGGTCAGAGTTCAGCTTCTGCCACTGCTCCAGGTCCTGCTTGATGTCCGTCTCTCTGCTGGGCTTCTGAGCTTGAAGCAGCTCCCAGCGCTCGATCACACCTGCAGACAGACGACAGCGTCAAACACGTTCTGATGGTTTCCTGCTGGATTCACTTTCCTCGGTTTCATATCATCAACTCTGTGTTTGTCTCCTCACGTTTTGCAGATTGAGGATTTTTTTTTTCTTTTTCATTTTCTTGAGTTTTTGACGCCAAAATTATTTGAAGGTGTCTGAAAACCTTTCTCACTTTTTCTCTGATATTCTAAGAACCAAGTGATTCATGAGTTTCATTGAACTTCATTTATCACGATCAAGTTTTCGCTCGTCTGTTTTTTTTAGTTTGTAAGATTAAAACAAAATTTGGTCCAAGAATGTTTTTTTTCCCAAGTTACTAATTAATCAGAAATACTCAGAGGACTGATTTCAGAGTGTGTGTACTTGTACTTCATGTATTTAAAGGGAGTGCTGGGCCTGAGTAACACGATGAGAAGTTTCCACAGATTGAAACAGAGTGGCGCCTCTGTCTCTCTGTTCACCTCCGTACCTGTGCTGGTGTGTTTGTCGGCCACGCCGCCCGTCAGACCCGCCTCCTCCAGCTCCTCCTCCTCGTCGTTCAGGATCAGCTTCACCCTCTTCACGCAGTCGATGCTGCCGCTGCACTCCGACATCAGCTTCACCTGAGGACGCAGGAAGTGAACCTCAAACACACCGAGACACAAACTGTCCTCTGCAGCGGGGGGGGGGGGTGTGATTGGACGTGTGTGTTCTTACGTAGCCCTGCGGGTGGAAGGGGGTGCTGCTGGTGGGCGTGGGGGACGGGTTCAGGCCTCGGAGGATTTCTCGGGGAACTCGTTTCCTCTCTGGGGAGCGGGGCTGGTGCCAGCTGGGGGGGTCGGTCACCGACTTGACTGAAGAGAGAGAAGAAAGTTTAAGATGAATGAAAGAGAAACAGAAAGTCCGACAGGTTCAAAAGTAAGAAAACGGGAGGAGGAGCTTAATCACTGAGGGCTCAGAGCAGGGCTCCAGAGTTTAACTAAATAAAGAATCTGATTTTTATTTCCAGTTTCTGCATCTTTGCTCTGATCTTTGATTCGTTCGCCTGGAGCCCTGAACACATGCGTGAAACTCAGGTGTCTGTGAACAACATGCAGGAAACACGTCACATCCTGCCGGTTTCAAGACGTTTTGAGACGTGACGTCACGTCCGCAACCTCAGATACAGAAACAGAGCGAAAGAAATCTAAAAACAGGATGTGAGGTAACAGCTGGATGGGTTTGACGGGAGCCATAAACACACAGCGGCATGCAGCGGGCGGGGCTTCGTACCCGAGGCTGCGTTCGCCGCTCTGACGGTGGCTTTGGCGAACGACGCTGCGCTCTCTGTGACCTTCACATCTGCAGGAGAGAGCGGAGGTCAACGAGGAGCTGTGCACGAGTCATGAGGCGGAGTCAGGAACAGGAGGAACGTTAACGGAGGAAAGTCTCAACTGGTGGAAACTGATTTTGTTTTTACTTTAAATGATTCAAAGAAGAAGTTTGTATTAATTATATATTAATTATTATTTTTCAAACTATGAAACTTTAGTGGGAGTAATTTCACAGCCTTCAGGAAACTTGAGCCCGGGTGGAGAAGAGATCGGACGTCATTCAGGATCTGCTTTAATATTTGCTGCTATAAAACTTTTATTTTAGAGGATGAATTAAGCAGAAAAGTTTCATTTGAACAAATTATATTTTTTCCACTTTAAGTTCTATATATTTGATTGTATTTGTGTTTTCTTTTTATTTATAATAAAGTTTATGTTTAACTATTAAACTTCTGTGTCATTTCTTTGTCGTTATATATCTTTTAATGTATATATTTATTTATTTAGATTTAAAGTGCGATAGAAATAAAGTTGTTTTCTTATGTGGAAGGAAAAAATGATAAAAACCTGTTTGTTTTGGAAAATTACAGACGAAATAGAATTTGCACAAAAGCTCGACTTTAAAAATGGCAGCAGATTTTTCATTTGACGTCGTTACCTGACAGAGCGCTGAAGAAGGTGGCGTCCTCATCGTCCTCGTGCGACGACGACCCTCCCACGTCGACGGTGTGGTCCCACTCCAGCGGGATGGAGTCCACGCTGACTGGCGTCTCTCTTCCCGACCGCTCCAGAGGAGGAGCCACCAGGTGACACATGGCCTGACGTCCCGCTGTGACTCCGCCCGCCGCTGGAACTTCCTCTTCCTTCTTCCTCGTTTCTCTCCACGAGGTCCCGTTGGTCAGATCGCTCGAGTCTTCCAGGTCCGTGTCCCGGTCCGACAGCTCCCTCTCCTCCTCCAGCACCTGGGAAAGATCACGTTGACGATAAATCAAAGTCCAACACGTCTCTTGGTTGGAGGAGCAGGAGGAGCGAGGGGCCTGCGTACTGACCGGGCGTCTGTTGACCAGGCGGTGGTGGAATCGGGCCACTCGTCCGAACACCTCCTGGCAGTAGGAGTGCAGCTCCTCCAGCTCGTCCTCGATCAGCACGGCGTCCAGAGGAGCGCTCTTCTGGATCAGGTTCTCCCCGAACACGATGAGGGCGTCGATTTTATTGGTGTTGAGGGTGATTTCCTGCTGGAAGCCCTGAGAGGACGCAACACACACCCCTGTCGTTAACACGGAGGAGTCTGGAGCGGCACGCTCACACATAAAACTCAAAATGAGAAACGTGTCTCTGAGAGTCAGAGCGGAACAGTGAGTGTGGGCGGACTGACGTTGAGCTGTCTCATCTTGTCCTCGATGTCACTCTCGGAGAAATGCTCCACGTTGGTGAGCTGGAGGTCCATCTCCGTCAGCCAGACCAGGATCCCCTCACGAGTCCCCTCGAAGTCTTCTCTCTGAGACGTGAAGTGCTGCAGAGACATGGGAGACACGAGATCAAGATTTATAAACTGTTCAAGATGTCGTTCATCAAATCCTTACAACAAAGAAATGTGTTTTTACATTTTAACCTTAAACTCAATAAAAAGAAAACACAATTACGGCCGAACAACTTTTTACACCCAGACACATAAATGTTGACGTCTAATCAAAACCAAATAAATCTTTAAATATTTACTGAAACAAAATATTGAGCTCATTTAAATTTTAAGTGAAAATCAAACATTCCAGCTGTAAAATCCATGAAAATCAGATTTATGACGGAAACCTGTCAGAAGACTTTCATCGATTTATCAGATCCACATTAAACTAAAGGTTCTGAAGCAACAAAACTCAAGTTTCAATAAATTGTGGCTGATTGAAAGTGTAAAGTTATCCTATATATTGAATTGATGTGTTACTGCTATGATTTATTTGTGATCGGGGGAGACGCTGCACTTTCTCCTGTCGTACATATACAACATATAAATAAAGTAATAAACATTTATAAATAAAAAGAATCTCGTCTGTGTCGCTCCTTCCTCTCTGACCTGTGATTTAACGTGAACGTGGTTAACGAGCAGCCAGAGGTCAACCAGCTCGATCAGGTGAATCCTCTGATCACACGCCGTCTTTATAAAGCAACATAAACACCCCCCCCCCCCCCCCCCCCCCCCCCCCTCCCCCCATCTGCTCGCCGCCAACACGCCGTGATGGAAACGGCTTCCTGCCAGCGTGACGCCTCGTGCCTCGTCACCGTCTGAGAGGCGACCCAAATCCCGGCGGCTTACGGGGCGGTTGCAGGGAGACGCTGCAGGGATCAGCTGGGGACAGACGTGCTGATGTTTGATTCCTCTCGGTCACGTTCTTTTATCACTCTGTGTTCGTCGTCACCGGACGTTGGACTCCAGATTTATCTCTTGCCGGCGTTTTTCCAACGTGGCTCTAAAATCTCCTTCCTGATTTTACTCTCTGCGAAAAAACGTTATTCGGCCTCACCTTGAGTCTGCGGAGCACGGCGGACACCCTCCTCTGCAGACTGTCCCAGCGCTGGTTCCCCTCGTGCACCATGACTTTGAGTTTGCTGGCGGCGTCGGTGCGGTTCTCCCGGGCCAGACGGCGGTACTGTTTGTTGACCAGCTCCAGCTGAGTCAAGCGCTCGTGAACCTGCCGCTGGAACGCCTGAAAACACACAATTGCAAAAGTAAACTTATTATTTACTTCTTTTATTGATTGTTAATTCTCTTGTAAATAACCTAATTGATTAATTCTCAAGTCACATGACAGGAAGTATCTCTGGATTTTAACTAATTATATTTTTACGTCTAAAAAAAACCCCGTATGTGGGTCAGTGGCGCTGCACGCGATGAAACGCCATCTACACCCGATGGCTGTTGCTGTGGAGACGGGGGGGAATCCCGGCAGAGTCCAGATTACCAGACGCTAATCTGGGTTTCTAATCCCGAGTGACACATCAAAGGTGCAGCGAGATACCTGACCCGGCAGCTCGCTCACGCAGAGACGCTGCGATTATCTACGTTTCTCCTCGGAGGGTTCGGAGCCAATCACAGCTGAGGGGGGGGAAAGGCCAAAAGAAAAAGAAAATATTTGTCAGCTGACCTCGAACTTCTTGAGCTCCTCCTTGGCGCCGGTGTAGAGGACGTCGGCCGAGTCGGGGTCGGCTGCGGTGAACTCTGCGGTCGCCAGCCAGCCTTCGAAGCGAGAGTAGTCGTCCAGGAACTTGCACCAGAGACGCCAGGTTTCCTCGATCCTGACAAGAGACGATTCACAGAGTCAAAACCTCAAACTTCACCTGTGGCTCCGCGGAGATCTGTTCACTCATTCATTCTTCATTCAACAGGACACTCGGCCTCTCGTCCGACAGAGCGTCCTCTCCACATCCCGCTCACCTCATCCTCCTCTCCATGGACATGGCACAGATGTTCCTCCAGCGGCGGTCCAGGCTGCGGGTCGTCTGCTGGATGGAGTCGTTCTCCGAGTCCGTGCCGCAGGCGTCGGCGTCGTGGAGCAGGACGTCGCACAGCGTCAGCACCGACGCCACGCTCTCCGTGTGCTGCTCGATGTCCCGCTGCAGATCCTGCGGGACGGACACAGAAGTTTTAAATTACTGTTGACGGACACCATCGTCCAACGGGACAACTTGAAGCTGTTTGACATCATTTCCTGTTGATGTGAAAGATGTTAATCTGTCGACACAATAAGAGTCAGTGCAGATACAACCATGAAACTGGGTCACAGCTCAGTTTTAAGACGTTCCACTCTAGATTTTTTTTTTTTTT